AAAATGAATGAAATGAGACACACTGCGGTGGCAAAGGTAAAGTCACAACGTTAAGTATAGAGTGAAACGGAGACATGAAACCCAGGCTTACTTGTTCAAGGCTAGTTGCAGGGCCAGATCCTGTGTCCTTTACTCACAGTACATATCAATGAGCGTATCCGCCTGGGGCAATGCACTCGGTGAGGATGAGAAATTAGGGTAAAATCCATTCTATTGGGTTTTTTTAAATAGTACTTATAGTTCTGCCCAACTTTGCAACATGACATACCAGCCTTATTGCATGCAAATAGCGTTATGCCTCAGGAGTTCAAATACACGTTTTTGCTTCTCTCTATTGCCTGGCCTTTCTCTGAACTTTTCTTATAACTCTTTCTCTCACAGGAAAGAGCGCGCGCGCACACACACACACACACACTTTCCCTCACAGGAAAGCGCACACACACACACAACTTTCCCTCACAGAAAGCGCGCGCGCGCACACACACACACACACACACACACACACACACACACACACTGCTGCCATCCCAAGGTAACTGCACTTAGCTTCTCTCTAGCTGCACTCGCATCACTGTTCGTTAGAACGTTCAACCTGGTTTAAATTACCATCACTGCTGGTATTTGTCCCATCAAATAGTTGTCTGTTTACAACTTCTTCTAATTACCAGTTATTTGACGCAGATTTGTGTTGTTTTGCTTAATCTCTAGCCCGGAGTGAAAAAAAAAAGGGCTCACATGAGGACAGAAAAGAGCCCCCAGCTCGGGGAAGACAATCTGGCATGTTTACCTTTGCTCGCTCCAGTTGCTGGGCTCAGGTTTAGCTGATCTTTAGGAGGCCATAAAGGCAGAACATGGCCTCTGCCTCCAGCCAGCCCAAACCACGCTACAGATCCAGCTCCACGCATGGGGAGGGATAGATCCAGCTACACGCGTGGGGAGGGATAGATCCAGCTACACGCATGGGGAGGGATAGATCCAGCTACACGCATGGGGAGGGCTTGGGAATCCTACCCAAGACCCAGGCGCCGGGAAGGATTTCCTTGCTCCCCTGGTGCTGTCGGCCCCCCCGTGGCCCAGTGGCCGTCCCAGGGCAGAGAACTGAACTTACTTAAGAGATTGGCTTCATGGGAGCCGTTGACTTTGCCATCCGGGTGGATCTGCAGATGGAAGCCGATGCCCACCCTGCAATAGAGGCTGCCCGTCCTGCGCCCGGATGGGCTCCACTGGAAGCTGCTTCTCTCCGGCCCGCTTCCTTGGGAGGAGGAGGAGGAGGGGGGGGGGAAGGAAGGTGATGAAACGGAGGAGGTGTTGCTGGTGCTGCTGGCACTGGCCGCCTGCCCGCGTTGCGCTCCGGGGGGCAGTTGCGCCAGGGCGCTGGTGAGGATCAGGTGGCTGAGGGAGAGGAGGCAGCGGAAGGACAAGCTCATTCTTCCAGCCGGGAGGGTGCCCAGCGCATCTTGCGAGCCAGGCTCCTGCTCGCTCTGCGCCGCGGCACGGGCTAGCTGCGCTGGGCAGGCATCGCTCCCCGGGCTGCAGCGCGCGAGGGAGATCCGGAGCGCAGCGCTGGCACACGGAGATATTTATAACCCGGGTGATCTCACTGGTCGGTGCACGCCTGGAGCCGAAAGGAGGCTCTCTCCTCCATCCGCCGCTTCCCGGCTGCGGGGCTGGGGGAGCCCTGCGTGGCCCCGCGAGGAAGAGGCGAAGGGCGGAGGGGAAGCAGCACCCATGGGCCCTGGGGGCGGGGGGGTGCGGATCGCACCAGAGGCCCGGCTGCGCCAGCGGCTCTTCACGCACCAGCGGGCTAATTCCTATCCAAGGGCAAAGGCTGCAAATAATTCATAACGGGGACGGCAAAATGGGCTCCCCGGAGAGGCGGCGGCGGATTGGGTCGCTGCCATAGGGCTGGGGGGTGAAGGGGGGGGATTCATTCCCCTCCTCCCCCTTAAAGATGCCGGCTCGGATTTTAAGCACCGGCCCCAAATGATTCCTAGAGACCCGCGGCGGAGTGGGGGTCCCGTGGGGCTTTCCCGATGCTCGGGCGGGCTGTGCATTAGGAACCCAAGGGAGAGCTTCCACTCCGTCGGGCGATGGTCTACCAAGCTGCTTGGGGCTGGGAGGGGGGGCCTGAATGGGAAAGGGGGGGCTAACTTCGGAATTGGGGGTGGCTTGCAAAAGGCAAGGGGCACTTAGATACGCCACTGGTGCGTCTCCCGGGGGAAAGTGCTCCTCGCTCACCTTCCGTGTCACAGATCCGTGCAAGTGGTTATTCAGCGCGTGCCCATCCGGAGAGGCAGGCGTCCAGGCATCCCCCGTGGGCGTGCGTGGCATACAGCCCCACTCCGGTGCGTGGCCTGGTCCCGCTGCCCCTTGGCAGCAGGCATGTGGGAGCTGTCTCTCCCTGCGGCTCTGCAGTTCCGGGGACCACACTGAATGATTGATGACAATGCGCACATGGGATTCAACCTTAAGAAACCTGAGAATAGCGCGTTTCTCTATATGCAACGCCCGCCTGTCATTTACCGGAGAAATATACCTTCCTGGCACGCTGGGAATGGCTCTGCCTGGAAACATGCTGAAAGTTTGAAGCCGTACTTCTGAACCATTATTCCTCTGGCACGCTAGTGAAAAGGGCATGCTCCTGACGGAATACGCCAATGCACAGAAGCCATGGCTGATACTCAGATACGGCCTGATGCATTATTAAGCACGGATTTAAAGCTTCCCATTTCAATAAAGAAAAGCATATAAAAGACATACCGATGTTCTAGAGCCGAAATTCTCCTGTTGGCAGAGTGCTTGACGTAAACCAAGCTATAAAAAGACATTCCTGTACTTGCGAAGCGCCAAAGCTGCTGTCGGAAAGCGAGTGGGGGGGGGGGGCGGAGAATACGTGTGTGTGTTCGTTTGTGTGTAGCTAGAGAAAAGGAGAAACCCAGTCCTGCACTCACGGATATCAGTGGGTATTTCAGTGTGAAATAATGCAGGATCCCAACCTTCGTGAGAGTTTGCTGTGAGGAACGTGGCGTGTTATAGGTGTAATATAATTCATATGTAATAATTTATACCTGAACATCTATACCACGCCACGTTTCTCACACCAAACTCTCACAAAGGTTATAGTTATATATATATTCCATATGCATGCATATACATACATACATACATATTATTTCTATTTTATTTTTATATATGTATTTATTTTATATTTATATTATTTTATATATTTATTTATGCATATGTAAGTATGCATATATATATATATATATGTATGCATATGTGTGTGTGTATATATATATGCATGCATATGTATATATACACAGATGTATGAGGTATATATGTATATATGTATATATTATTATTTCATATGAAGTATAGATAGATTAAAATACAATATAAATAGTATATATGCATGTATGTATGGTGTCTGTATATATAATATACTGTATACAGATATATGTATGTATAATATGTGTGTATATACACACACACATGATATATATGCCTACATACATAACACACACCCCCCTCTACAACATTACCCCCCTAGAAAAAAGTCTGCGTTTTTCCATTGCAGTCTGTTTCAGATTTTGTGTCCTTCTGAACAACAGGTATGGTCTGAATATTACGGCTTTAAGCAGCTCAGAAACGCTCATGCAAATAAAATAAACACAAAGCTCCTTGCAATGCAAGTATGCCCCCGGGAGGAGTGTTCTCGTGTCTGTTGTTTATGCAGCGCTTGAAAGGGATTTTTGCACAGTCGATCCAGGAAAGTGTAACCACCACCACCCCGGACCCCCGCCAAGGGTTGCTTCCGGTGTGTTTATTAATTGGAATCAAGGCCCATCGCCTGGGGAAGGGCCAGGACCAGCCGTTTTGTAAGGCAGAGTCGTTTAGTTTCTTCTGTTCCCAATTCCCTGATTTTAAGTCAGCTAATGTAGTTGATACAACTGAATTAGTCCTAGAGGCCCCGATCCGAAATCTTGACCCAGGCCAGTCTCCCATCGACTGCAGCGGGAGTTTTGCCTGAGTAAGGACTGCAAGATCAAGCCCTCCGTGTCTTGCAGCCCGTTCTGCAAGCCCTGACCAACTACCCGACTGAGGACTGCGAGATGGGGCGCATTGACCAAGGTTAACGTTGTCTGTCATGGAAGCTCCTACTTACAGAGACACCAGGTGTCACAAGCCAGGAGACTGCAGTTTGGATTAGTTCCACAACCCCTCCCAGCCCCACAGTGGAGCCAATGGGATCTTTATCTTCGATTTTAATGGGGCCCAGAGTGCCACCCTCCAGGGATCCCACTTAGCAGCGACACAATGAAACGCCAAAGTTTTGCAAAGTCTTATTTCCCCTTGGGAAGGGCAAAGGGAAGCCCAAACACTTTCATTCCCACAGTTCACATGCAGCACACGTCAATGCAAACTCAACCTGCGTGGTCTGCTTTTACAAAAAATAAACAAGCTGGATGTGCATAGGATGCAGTGGTAAGTAAATCAGACCCATTTCTGAATGGACACTTTTGAATCCCATTTTGCAACAGTAAATCTGGTGCAAAGAATAGAAGTTCCTTTTGAAAAGTCAGATCAGGCATAGAGCGCTGGAAGGTGATTTTTCAGCGCCGTGTTAACTTTTTGATAACACAGCTGTTGTGTTGTAAGTGGTGGCAAAATAACTGTTAAACCTCCAAACAAAAGCAGCCTAAAATAAATGAAAAACATACAAAAGAAGTCTGTAAAGGGCCTATTCTTCACCCACAAAATGTCATTACGGGCGTATATACTCCTTATACTACACTTTCCCTGTAGCAATACAATGACACAGGTAATAACCAATTTTCCTGTTAAAATAGCAACTCTGACATTTTCGAAACCCACATATTATATCTTAAATTCCTGTAGAGAGATCAGAGTTAAAACGTGTCCATTTCGGCATAATCACGGCTTGAGAAGTTCAGAATTGGAGTTAGTTACAATGTAACTTTAAGAACAAAGCATTTGTACATTTCCTGGTCACCCTTTCCAACAAACATATTAATTGCTTTGAAATGAAAACTAGGGATACAATTCAATTCCTCCAGAAATGATTCTATAGATCCCCCTAAAGATAATAATGTTGATCTCAAATTGGAACTGTGTTAAACAAGTGTCTACAAATTGCAACTTCATTGGACTATAAAAGTAGCATTGGAATTGCATTCCGGAAAAGATAAAAGAATTAACCTGCAGGGGCAGTTTTCTCAAGACCGCAACCTGAAAGATTAAAAAGGTAAAAGAATATGAACAGCTGCACAACACGCACCTTACTATTATCCGCTATTGCGTCAATGAACTGCCATTATTCTCATCCGGAATGTTTCCCAGCCTATGTTTAACGTGATTCTGTTTGCCCATCTCGAGCACTGAGAACAGAAGTCACAATCAGATCAGCCGTGGGAGGTGATCCACACCAACCAGTTACCTTCTGCTTCTCACTGGGATAAACCAGACCCCCTTCGCCCCCATCTCGGCTCCAGCTGGCGAAGGATGCCCCGATCCCAACCCCCCGAAATACCGCTGACCCCAAAGAGCCGATTCACAAGCACGCCACGCGCTTCCGAATTCGCATGGCAATGTCTGTCTCGGCCCTGCCTGAGCTGGGAGGTCTTCTGAATCCGGTCCGCCTCTCACGGGAACCGGCCGGTCCAGCCCGACGCTTGGGATCCACCACACTGGCGGCTGCACCAGCACACAGCCGTGGGCATGAGGGCACCCACCCAGGGGGAGGGGGAATTCAGACACAAAGAGAGGGGGAGCCGAATGCATTGGAAGGAGAGCTAAATCCAGGCTAGAGGCACCTTAGTGAATTTATTCTATTCTATCTATGAATCTAGACAGTATTTGGTCTTGCCATGAGTGCAGGGGACTGGACTCGATGACCTCTCGAGGTCCCTTCCAGTCCTAGAATCTATGAATCTATTGGGGGGGGGGATTCCTGCGGGATTCCCCGTGTGGCCCCCCCACCAGCCAGCCAGCCACGCCGGCCGGTGCCTTGCAGCGTGTGTGTGTGTGGGTGGGGGGGGGTTA